GCAACATGTTTGACCAACCAGGAGGACGACAACTCACCCAGCCCACCCTGTCCATACCATCTTGTGGTGGCGCAACAACTGACGTATCCGTGCCATCCTTGTTAATTTCGGTTGCATCCGAGTCACAACCCACTAAAACTCACGGGGCGACCACTAACCGAGGCACCTCGGCGAAGTTCGGATTAATCCGAACCACAGTGATGGCAAATTTGGATTTGTCACATGCTCAAACGGTATTTACGACGCCGCACGTTCCCATAAACGTGAACGACGAAATCACACGCTGTCAAAAGACCGTTCTGTCTCGGATTAATCCGAACCACACCTCCGACAGGATAGGGTCCACCCTCTGCTCACAGGTCTTTGAGGAAAACACGCCGTGCTGATGTCCTCCTCTTGTGGTCGGCCTTATTCGGATGCATCTGAGTCACAACGTCGGTCTTTCGACTCTGCCCAGTTCGGATGTGTCCGAACTACCACGCTGTCTTCGTCTTCCAGAAAGCTGCCTCGGATTCATGCAACTAAAACGAGTCGAGATGGTTACGCTCGGTGGAAGAAAGACGAGCTCGAAAGTTGTGCTGCGACTACAGCAAACATGTCTGTTGTTTGGATTGGGCGAGCAACAACCAACTAAAACTCACGACGACGACGATATCCCTCATGATGACGCACAGATTATAATGACACACTACGACAATCGCGGGGAGGTCTGCTGTGTGGTGGAGCGACAACAAAGCGAAGTGCCTCGGTGAAGTCGAATTAATCTTAACCACACCGGAGGCATTTTCGGATTTACCACATGCGCAGAGGGTATTGACGACGTCGCACGGTCTGATAAACTTGTACGTCGAAAGCACACGGTGTCGGCGCAGCCTGTCGTGGTCGCACGTATCGGGACAGCCTCTGTCGAAATCGGATAAATCCGAGCCACACCCGTCTTAAACACTCAAGGACGAAGACACACTGTGCAAAATTCGGTTGGACCCGATGACAGCTGGGGAATAACGGAAGCTTGGATGGATGGATGGGCGTCAACAGACCGTGGGGTCCATCCGCCGGTCATCGTCTCGGATTAATTTGAGCCTCATTTGCGAAGTTCAGGTTCAACCGAACCGAACCTCCGGCAGGATAGGGTTAACCCAGTGCTCGCTGGTCGGTGACGAAAACACGTGTTGTAAATGACCTCTGGTGGACGGTTGTCTCGGGACCGCGCTGTTCGAATTCGGATGCATTCGAGTCACAACCGTTACCGACTAAGAAGGACAAGAAAAATCGAGTTCGGTTTCGTACGGGCCGACAGGGGGAGGTCCACACCGCTTTGGAGCTCGGATTTATCCGAACTACAACGAGGGACTTTACAATCCACTTGTCGACTTCAGATGACAACGTATTCACCTTCGTCTGCCGTATCAGCGTTCTAGGGCCTTCTTGCGAGGTGTTGCTTTTCCCAGGGCAGGTGCCTATGCGACATCGGTTTTTCGACTGCGCCTGCTTCGGATGTATCCGATCTATCCCACGGTCTTCGTTTTCGAGCATTTGTTCTCTTAAGGGCAGTGTGACGAGGATGGCTGACGATGCCTCGGATTCATCCGAAATGTGCAGGCTTGTGGACCACTGTCGTCTAACTATAACTGAACTTCGTTCTTTTGGAGTCTGGGTGACCGATAACAGAATACGTGCCGTGGGTCGTGGTTGATGTTGGGACGTGCTGATTATTCTGAGTGAATGTGGGTTCATTTCCTCCGTGTGTTTTAGGGAATGGCTTCACACAGACGAGGCCGCTCCGCTGGTGGTTCCTCCCCGCACGGAGAGGAGCGTCGAGGGACGACGTCGTCGCCGGTAAGGGAAACGAGTCGGGAAGTTGGAGGTGGGGAGGAAGAACGACGTGCTCAAAACTTGTGGTGCGACTACAGCAAACGTGTCTGGTATTTGGACTGGGCGAGCCAGGACGGCTCCGTCCCGTTGCAACCACCGTGCGGGCCGCTCTTGTTCGTCGCCGTTCGCGCCGACAGAACACGTCTCGCAGGGTCCATCGTCCTGTCGGTCGACGATGGCGAATACAATTTCGAGTTAACGTTGAAGAAGCATTACAGAAGTGATGGTTTTGTCGACGGCATCGCAAAGGGATGCAAGGTTGCCAGGAAGATGTTCGGCAGGTACGGCCGTCGTGCGATGTCTTTGCCTCACTTTCTCCCGCTAGCGTCGGGGCACGACGAGGCCGTTCACGTCACAGACTTCCTCGAGGTCTGGGCGAAATTTGGTACCTCTGTAAGTGTCGTGCACGTCGGACCTCGAACATCGATCAGTGGTCCTGTTGGGCTCGCGGGAGGAGAGTGCTCTAAAAGGGAGATGGGAGGTCAGGGTGGCCTGCCAGCACGCCTTCTGATAAAAAAGGGGGGCATGTCAGACGACTCGGAGGACGACCATCTGCGTGCTCCTTTGAAACCGGGCTTGCATGTATCTCCCCGCCACGTTTTGCTTGGGGAGTCGACGCCACATGGAGGCGGCGATGGCGAACGGTTGCGACAGGGCTCAGAATCGATGACTCCTCGTTGTCTGGTCGAAAGGATCGGTTCGTTAGTTCGTGGCATGCAGGTGGCCGAGGTTTCGCCTGGAGATCGAGCGGGTGGTGCGCAGGATCGAGAGGTGCGTAGGTCAGATGAGACGACTCGCCGGGCCCGACCAACGCCGGGGGAACTGCAGACGGAGTTGAGCCAGGAACGAGAAGCAAATGGGAACGTCGCCGGTGAGGAAGAGGTGTCCGAGCAGGGGCTGTTCCATGAGAGATCGACTGAAAAGACTCAGTCAGGAGGCAAGCGCAACTTGCTGGATGAGGAAGAGCGAGAGGGACTAGGTGCTCTGAAAAGGCAGAGAAAGGTAGGAGAGAGTGCTCGGACGCCAACAACACGAGAGGGAGGTTCCGTTGAGAAGAGGAAAAGGGTTGGAGGTGGGGATGAAACGCCAAAAGACTCGTCGACACAGCGAAGAACCGGTGAGTCTTCCAGGAAAAGGGCGAAATCATCGAGGGGGAAGAAAGCAGACGAGGGCGATAGCGGGGAGGGGGATGACGACGTGGAGATTAACCTCAACGCTTTTAACCTCGACAATGCGTTCTTCCCCGAGATGCAGACAGGGGTGCAAAAGGACGTCGTGTTGCACATCCATCCCGAAAAAATATTAGTTATTCCTGACTGGGAAGACGCGTACAACCACCGATCCTTGGACGAGTTCCTCGTTGATACCATCGCATCGGCTATGATCGACTGCGACGAACATAAAGACATGAGATACACGAAGCCCATTTTCGTTCTAGCTCCGATCGTCGCGCCTCCAGAGAACGGCGAGCCTGCTGTGCGCGTGCTGCCTGCTGACTTCGACAGCTCACACCCGGAGAGATACTGGTATTATCCTGTGTGTGGACAGCATAACGCGAGGGCGGCGATGATGGTGAAAGACCATCCTGTGTTTGATTACTACAACTTCTGTAAATGGCCGTTCAGACCGATCTACTTCCCTGACGACGAGTTCGACGGCTACGCCCATGTCAGGTGCGAAGACAACATGAAAGACAAGAAGAATCCACCGCGCTTGCAGGTTTTATCTATGCGGGACATTCGCAATATCTGGAAAATTCAGGGCAAACCGCGTGTGGTGCTCGTCATTGCCTCGAAGAAACAGGACGAGGTGCGAAAATGGGTGCGGTTTATGGCGTTGGCAATGAAGAAGACGTCGTACATGCCTATCTGGAACCTGTCAACGGAAGCAAAGAAAAGAAAGGAATGGGCTGAGAAACTTTGATACTACCTCCCGCTGGCCATGGCAGATGACTCCGTCTTCGCTTTGGGGTTGAAGTTCTATGAGGAGTGGTCGAAAGGGAAACTCCTTGCTTCCGACGGCCGG